CATGGGAGCAGCCACTGTATGGGTATTGTTACGGCCCAATTGCCTGGAGACTGAGGAAATCTGAGGACACTCCCTCTGTTCCTCCTGGTGACTCTCCAGATTAACCGATGATTCGGAAGAAGGACCTGGAAGGGAAGAGAAGAAAAACAAAACCAGCAGCAGCTTCTCTTCCTGAAACGTGAATGGTTGTGATTGACTACTCAGGCCCGGCGCTGGCACCTGATGGGCGGGAAGTGACTGCTCCCACGCTCACCCTTGAGACATGCAGTTCAGGTAGGACCAACTGACAGTCTCCAAGATGGGGCATGGGAGGAGTCACTGTATGGGACATACCCAAGCTAGATGTCCATGGGAGGGATTATTGAGCCTAAGTTTCCCGAGTGTCCAGGACACCCTGAAGAACCCGCCTCCCTAAGGATGCCTCGGCATAGGTATCTAGCTGGTAATGTTTGATGAATGGTGAAGGAGAGCACCGCCTGCGCTGGCCCTCCACGGATGGCCGAAGGAATCGGGCCCGAAGAAGCTGTTTTCTTGTGGTGCTGGTGAGCTGGGAGACTGCAACAGTCTCCTTAGTGCTCTGTGCCCGTGCGCCCTTGCTTCCAAGATGGCGACCGCCAACCACATGGTCCGATGCCTAGAGCGGTTCCACTGAGCTGCTCCTTCCTCTTCTCGCTGCCTCCGCAGTCTTTGTAACTCCAATGGCTTCCTCTTCACCTCCAGAGGGCAGCTGCTGCGAGGCTTGGCTTTCTTGCACTCCCCCTTCACCGGGAGCCAGTGCTGCAGGGCCTGCAAATCTGCATGAGCGTGGATCGTGCCTAGGCAGGCAGGAAAGGGTGCGAAATTTGAGGTAGGAGAGATGGAAAAATTTAAAAATAAAATAAAAGCTGTAAGAAAATCCTGTGGATGCTGCAAAATGGGAGAAAAAATGCTACAAAAATATCCTAACTAACACTATTCACTGAGAGTCACTGAATAGCTTCTGTTAGGCCAAAGACTGAGGTTAATCTGGGGAGTCACTGGGAGGAACAGAGGGAGTTCCTCAGATTTCCTCAATCTCCAGGCAATTGGGCCGTAACAATACTCATACAGTGACTCCTCGCACGCCCCACCTTGGAGACATACAGTGTTTAGCTAATGATACCATTTAAGGAAAGCATAAAGCATATTTGTCCAAAGAACTTCAAAACAACACAAAGAGGTTAAAAATACAAATAAAAGCTATATTAGTCAACACTGCAGTTGAATTTGCATTAATAAAATTATTGAATAATTTAAATGCTACCTATCGAAATGAAAAGCAAACCCAAGTGTATATGTATCTTTTTCTATCTGTTGTAATAAAGCCAGAACAGAAATAAATGTTAGATTGGAATTCTATAGAGATTCTCAGTCATCCAAGACATGGTTGTCCCAAAGGTGTTTTCCCCCCAAGAGGTAACTGAACTTTTTTTGTTTTTTCTTGAAGATGTTTTTCACTTCTCATTCAAGAAGCTTCTACAGTTCTGAGAAGTGAAATGTCTTCAAGGAAAAACAAAGAAAGTCCAGTTGTCTCTAGAAAAAGATTTTTTTGGATTAGATTGGAAGCTGTGGAACAATCTTTCAACTTAGTCTTTGAGAAAATATAATAGGCATTTTCCATTAAATAATTAATTTTCAGAGCATAGAGATTATTTCAATATTACTGCATTTTATAGTATTGAGGAATGTTCAATTATATTGCATTATATATATTCTGCATAGATGGCATCACACCTTGTCATTACATGTATGGACTCCTTAGTGCATTTAACTTCATCCCAGGCATGTTTAGCCCAAGTCCTTGAGTTCAAATCATTTATGATTCCAAAGGTCAAAGACAATATCTTAAATTTTAAAAAAATCAATAGGAAACTAATATTTCTCTCTCAAGGTCAGAATTATAGTATATAACTTTTGATAGCTACCGGTAATACTGTCAACAAGTTGGCAACTGATTTTGCAGTGAGTGTTTTTTCTGGATTATTTTCAAGGGCAATATCATATTGAGTGAATTGCAATAATCCAAATAAGATCATAGGTCAATTGTGACCAAGCTACCTTGATGGCTATGAACCACCCAAGCCATACCAAGTGATTTGAATTCACACAGAATTTTATTACAAATATTTTGTATTTGTGTAATATTTAAGTACAAACATTTTGTCTTCCCTTTAAGTAACCTTGTTTCCATAAGCATATTTTGAAATGTATAAACTTTCTTCTATTTGAAGCAATTATGGGCTACCTGAGTCATTCTTTTTATGATCCTTGTATAATTAATTCCCTCTTAAATCAATTGAAGTATGTATTTTTATTGTAGACAAAGTAGATTACTTTGCTTAGGAGAGTATTGACCTATGCCAAGAATAAGGGATGGAAAATAACCACCTAAAGAGCTGTCACTGTTTAGTAGATATAAAACTGCACCCAAGCACTGAAGAAAGCAAACACTGGGTGATGTCTTATAGCAATAACATTTAGTTTATGAACATGCTGTCTGGGTGATGTAAAATGTAGAAGCATTGTATTTATATATTTCCTCAAACAATCTGGGTTCTCATTTTACAGATCTTGGAAGGTTGAGTCAACTTTGAACACTGTCAGGATCAGTCTCCAGACTGTGGGCAGAGTTTGCCTGCAATACTACATTTTAATCTATGGTAACTACCTGGTTTGACCCCAAACATACTTTTCCAAGATGTAACTGGACTTGTTTTGTTTTTCCTTGATTACCTTTCATTTCTCATCCAATAAGTTTTTAAGTTCTTGGATGAGAAGCAAAAAGTCTTCAAGAAAAACAAAGGAAATCCAGTTGCCTCTTGAAAAAACACCTTTGGAACAACCATGACCTGGATGACTGAGAATCTCCATAGACATCAGGTTTGTTGAACTGATAGTGAGTTAAACCAGTCCACTAACAGGCTAAGAATTCAAAAGAAATTTTGATTTGATGCAACCTGATATCCTTGCTTATATTCGCCAAGTCATCTTCTGGTCAAGAGAATACCCTCCAACCAACTTTCAACCCAGTGAATATATAATGTGTATAGACCTCAGAAAAAAGGCTCAGATAGATACCTTGCTTGAGAGAAAGACTACATAGAACTCTCAGAACATATTTATGCCCCAATAGCATCCTGCCAAGTGAGCGGTGCCAAAATTTTCAAACCCTGATTGAAGAGACACATTTTAGCTTTTATCCTTCCCAATCTACTAAAATGGACCAAATTTTCTTTGGCAGGATTTTAATAAGCAAAAAAAAAAAATCATCAAAAGATACCATTGTCCCCTCTGCCAAAAAATAAAAACAATTAAAAAATAAAAGTCTAGTCCTATAGTAATTCAATCTCTTCAACCTGAAGATGTCCACAAGGCTCACCAGTGAGTTCTTGGCTATTTTCCCCTGTGATTCTGTAGGTTTTGGAGACCTACATAGTTACATCATCCCTTCTGATAATCCATAATTTCTATATCAGATTAGTATAGAATATATAAGCAATTCACAAACACTTTTGTTTAAAGAAATTGAAGGCAGCCACAGTTTTCATTTTCCTCAAAACTCACAGACTAATTCAAACACCCTATCCTCTTGTCCACAGCATGACCATTTTTTGTCACATTGGGAAGTGCTTTACAGAGAAGAACACCAAGAGCCAGCACACTCTAGCTTCTATCCTTATCCTAATTTCACATTGCCTCAGCGGCACCAGGGTTGGAGTGCAGTACTGCAGGCTACTTCTGCTGACTGCCAGCTGCCTGCAATTTGGCAGTTCAAATCTCACCAGGCTCAAGGTTGACTCAGCCTTCCAT